CCCCTCTTAATTTCATTTTCCGGCTGCCCTGCCATTGGGTCCATTTATCACATTCTTGTTCCACTAAATTTTGTTCAGCTTGTTCCAATGCTGTCTGCAGACTAGTCTCATGTCTTTTGATATTGCTGGCAGACTATTTCAAACAAAAGCATGGTGCTTCATCAAGAACTTGGCACGCTTCATGGAGGTAGCAGATCAAATTTAGGAAACCCAAAATACTCAAGCAAGAGCAAGCAAATGAGCTCCCAAATTAAACTTCGTTGATCACAAATGAGCTCCCAAATTCATCCATGCATGGAATTACTTCGATTTTCCTCTCTTAATTAGGGCATCTGGAGGTATAGTAAGAATTATTTTTAATAATATTTTTTTGTTTAAACATAAATCAAGATAATAGTTTTATTTAATTTTTTGATTTATTTTTTATATTAACATATCAAAACAATAAAATATATATATATAAAAATAATTTAAAACTAAACAAATTTAAATATATTTAAAAACATGATTGTAATTAAATAATAAATAAAGAGGCCCTGATAAGGTCAACAAGCCCACGTGAAAGAAAATTGTTTATAATTTGGAATTCCCCTTTGGGACTTCCATCAGAAATTCAGAACCATATATCGGAGTTGTGGTGCTACAAAACTTTGTCATCCACACGTAACCTTAAGATAACTGTCTAGTCGTCGTGGGTCGTCGTGGGTGTAAGCTAGTCCGAACATCCACATTAATCTAAAAAAAAAAATGCCTGCCTGATACACAGTATTGCTGTAAAAATTTAAGAGTATTGGAACATGACTTTGGCAAGCAACCTTTGCCAAGCAATCGTTTTCTAATGTGCATGAATTTACTCGAAAATCTTTAGACGTTTAGTTTTCCAAGTAGATAAGCACTTTCATTGACACATCTTGGGATTTTGTTTCATATGAAATTAATATTATAAAGACGTTTTCCACCGCTTCTGTTCTCTCAATTTCTATCGTTGTGTAATATTATAAAGAAACTATTTGATAATGACTTACATTTTATTTATTTAGTTTATTATGTTAATTAACTAATAACTTTAATATTATATTAAAGAACTATTGTAATTCAAAATTTTACACTATTAAGAATGTTTTTCCATTAACTCTATCATGTTTAAAATTGATGAAAAACATCGAGAAAATGGAAGTTGTTAATCTACAGTCTCTTACTTCTTCAATTGTTCCTGCAGGGTTCTGAGAAATTGCAATATTAATGGTCCCATACCCGAATACATTGGCAAGTGGCCTGAGTTATCATATCTGTACGTTTACCTTTTACGAAATCTCCAGTAATTGTTCAATCTTAGATAGCCTTCACCAATTGGTTAAAACTCCATATCGTGTAAATAACTCAACAATTATGTCTATACATTGATCTCATTCGTTCTTTCTTTTAACGTCAGATGACACTTTGATCGACATTACCAATTAAGTCTCGAGTTTTCAATTTTGGGTAATATATATTTGATGCGTTTCGCTTTGGCTCGCAGTGATTTGAGCTTCAACAGCTTAACTGGTAGCATTCCAGAAACATTTCAGAAACTGACAAAGTTGTATGTGCCAAAGTTGTTTATATTTATATTTATATAATATAATGTATAGCTGGCGAACACTGTTGCTGATGTGTTGGTGTTTCTTGCTTAGATTTTTAACGAGAAACATGCTTACTGGGCTTCCTTCATGGATCACTGACCCGAAGAAATCGAAAAACAGTCGTCCTACAGTGTAAGACACTAGATTAATGCAAGCTTATCTGCAGCTGTCTACATAATTTCTTTTGAGAAACTTTTGAATCACTCCTTTATCTGTGTCGAAACTAAGATATTGATGATTTTCTCTTTGTCTATTTTTAGGACTTTATCAAACAATTTCACCTTTTGGATTACTTTTTTATAGATGAAGTATGGTGTTAACCATGATTTGTTCTGTGGTTAAACATTAAACATTTAGCAAGGTGACATATGTTAAAAAAGGTTAAAGCACAATATTATGCTAATGCTATATTAATGTTTTGTGGTTATGCTTTTTTATTATGTTCTCCTAGCATTTAGCAAGGTGATATATGCTATTTTACCATATATTTATAAAATATATAGTAAAATTTAAATTCATAATTATTTGATCAACAAATCTTTGATACCATATTAAATAACCAATTTAATTTAAAAATTTAAATTATTATGTGATACTTTAAAATATAATTTATATAATTCTTTAATATCTTAATTTTTAAATCTATAAGTCTAAAATAAAATAATTATAGAAAAAATTAAGTTTTCACATCTCAATAACTAACCAATACAAATATACCAAAGAATGATATAATAAATAACTTTCAAACCATTTCATAACCCATCACACCATGTACATAACCCAACATCATGAAGTATATAACTCACCATTACATCATGTTCAAATCACATTACATAACGTGTCATGCCAAGTATTTAACTAAGTGTCACGTTATGTGTTCACAATGAATGTAAAGACACGAACACACATGTTTTATGAATTTTATTTAAAACATATTTATATTAATTACTCATAGTTATAACAAGTATGTAAACCGTAATCTTCAACAAATTTTTTATAAAGAAATGTTATACAAGGCTTCTGAATGTCTAAACATATTTTTATATATAATAGAATTAATTTCAAATTCAAATGGAAACAATAAAACATGGTAACAAACCATCAATAAATCTCAGTTCTTTATTAAAACCTCTCTAAAAACTACTATTTACAACCAAGGACTAAACTATATATTTTTAGAATTCAAGGGCAAAATCATAACTTTTAAAAAATTAGGGACTAAACTATAATTCCTCCATCTTCAACCCCAAAATAGATTTTCTAGAATTTCAACATGATTCTTTCTATACAATTATTCAATAATTCCCAATTTGTTTTCCTAATATTAAATTTATTCAAATTCTTTTACTCAAAATTCATCAAAACACACAAGCAAAATCCCATATCAATTCATTTCTACATATTCTATTTCAATATGCATTTACACAAATATATATTATTCGACACATGAATTACTTCAAATAAAATCACTAACATCACATAAACTTTAATTTTTCATTAAATTTATTGTAAACAAAAGATCTAAACCAATACCATAAATCAAATAGAAAGAGATTAAAAAAAACCTTACTCAAGAGTTAAATGATTAGTATATGATGAATTTTGAGATAGGGTTTGAAGAAATTTTTCTGCAAAAGAAAGGGAGAATAAGCTATCGGTTATAGGGAAGAAATTTCACTAGAAAGAGGAAAGTTTAAATGGAGGTGTTGACATCACCCCCCTCCATATATGGGCTAGCACATAAAATATAATCCTTTCATTAAAGAGACAACAAATGGTGGTTAGTATTGAATAAGTGGCATGCTAGGAAGGTGACATGATGTTAAGAAAGTTAATTTTGATGAATTATTAACTGAGGAAAAATTTATGAAAGCAATTTAGGGAGTAGTTACATTGTTACATATTATGAAAGCTTCATTTTTATGAATTGTTAATGTGCAGGGATCTTTCTTACAATAACTTCGACGAGGCATGTAAAAATATAAGTTGCTCGGGACTGCAAAATGTAACCATGTAAGGGGACGAACCAAACTCCTTTCCATTTTGCTTTCTGTTACAAATTTATTGACTTTAATGAATCGCTCCTGAAGGTTGTCATTGATTTTTTATTTATTTATTTGTCTAATTTCATGATCTTGCTGCATTTCAGTAACCCGACAAGGTATGTGATACCATCATTTTCTGCAATAAGAGCGATCTTGAAGTATGGCTAACAAATTTCTGTGTCAATTCTTAGGTCTTACATAGATGGTGGTAACATGAAGAGAAAAAATTGTCGTCGAAAGCGTATGTTCATTCTTTTGAAATCTAAATGCATTTGGGATTCCTTATCTAACCTTAATGTTTCAACCACTAGTAATACACTTACGGAAATCTAAATGCATTACCACAGCGTATTACCACCAAATACACTAGTCATTTTCCATTTGTAAGGAGTTTGTTTTTCAAAAAAAAGAAATTAAATAAATAACTCCCCTAAATATTTTCCAAGGGCATTCAGGCATAGGTGCGCGCACATACCTACATTATTAGATAGAGAATTTCTATCTTCTAATTATATTGCTGATTTTCTCATTGGAAACAATCATGTTTGTACTGAAAAAAAGTTTTCCTGCAGATAATTCCCTGTTTATAAATAGTGGTGGTGAGGATGTATATTACGGAAAGGATCATTATCATAACGATACCTCCATATCAAGTTTTAATCTTAGTCCATCTGATGATTGGGCTTATAGCTATGCTGGGGACTACCTCAACACAAACTTCAATGCCAGTGGTTTAGTAAGGAACTGGACATGTGAAATTACTAGCGCTAAGGCAAACATAGATAACAATTTTCGCCTTGCTCCCGTCTCTCTAACGTATTATGGCCTCTGCTTGCGTAAAGGCAAGTACATTGTGACACTTTATTTTGCTGAAGCATTATATTCTAAGAGTGAAGATTACAGCACATCAGGAAAACGAGTGCTTGATCTATATATTCAGGTAAGTATTAACTTATCAGAATCCTTATTTATGTACTAATGTCACGCACTTAAGAAAGTCTTGATTGTAGGGAATTATTGAAATGAAAGATGTCAACATAAAGGAAATCTATGTGAAAGAACATGAAGGAAAACAGCTAGTTTTCCCGGTTAAAATAAATGATGGTTCGTTAGAGATCCAGCTCTACTGGGCTGACAAAGGATCTATATCCAGACAAGATCTCAACGGACCTCTCATATCAGCCGTTTCCATCACTCGTGGTAGAAAACACAACTTCAATATTTTTATTTTTTTCTATTAAAACCCAGGATTCTGTTGCTGACTTCATTCTCAGTGTGAGAATAGTTTATTGCTTGGCTGACAACCATTGTTTTCTGTATGTTTCTCAAGTTCCAAGAAAACTGCATGGTAGGGAAATTGCGTTGATTATAGGATGCTGTATTTTGTTTCTGCTGCTGTTGCTGGCCTTCATATGGAGAATGGGCTGGATAGGTGACAGAGAATTGCGAGGTAAGCACTTTTTTCTCTATCTGGATAATTCTTACCATAATTGTGGTTCAATTCACTTAATTCATGTGTTATTGGAATATGTAGAAACCGAAGTGAAGATTGGAGAAAGAACTTTCACCCTTAAACAGATCATTCATGCAACAAAAAAATTTAGCCCCAAGATGCAGCTTGGTAGCGGACGTTCAGGGATAGTATACAGGGTAAAAAAAGAATTTTACTTGTTCCTTAATTTTTTCCTTTGGAAGAATAACTTTCATGTTATTTAACCTTTCATCATTTTGATTTCACATGCCTGCAGGCTGAATTGCCAGATCTGACTGTAGCAGTGAAGAAGCTATTCACTCATTCAAAAGCAGTAGATGAAATAGAAAGTGAAGTTTATGCCAAGAAGGCCTTGGACTTGAAACATGAAAACCTTGTTAATTTGATTGCTAGTTATTCCAGAAGGCACCTAATTTTGCTCATCTACGAATATATGGAACATGGCTCACTTGGACAAGTTTTATTTGGTAATTTTCTGATCTCTCGGTCTCAATCTAATTTGGCATTTAAAATTTTTGCTAACGAACTTGGACAAGTCTCGTTGCTCCACTTAGTAATTAATATTTTAGTTTAAAAACCTCTATTTTCTTAGAAATTTTACTAGCTAGAAATTAAAATGGTACTTCTAAGTAATGCACGAGGCTCCAATTTATCTAGTTTACTCCTTAGGTTCCATTAAAATGGTGTAATTTATACACCTAATCTAAGAGCAACGAAAACCGAGCTATGTGCAAGGCAATGAACTCTTAGTGCATGCTGAAGTCTTGTTAGTTTTCTCTTTACCTTTGATATATTAAATGCTTTTGGATTTATTTACACACACACACACACGCTAGAACAGATAAAAGTGAGGTGTTTATATACAAAGTCATGGTCCTTTCAGAAAAACTTCCAAGTTAATGATAGTGTTCTTTTAAATATTCAAGCCTTGCGTGCAGCCTATATACCGATCTAAGTGACTTTACGATGGTTTTAAAGTTTATATTGTTTTATGTTCACCTTTTATTTTCTCTATACAACATTATCCCTAGTTTGTAGTTTATCTTTTAAGATTGTCAAGTGTTTTGAAGCTTAAGAATTTTCAGTGTCGAGTGTTAGTTGAGTTTGGTTCTAATCAAAAGACCTTAACCTTATAGTGATCCTTAATCAACCATTTTTTCACAATCAGAACATAGGAGACTGCTGACCATTGACTTGGGGATTTGCAGGTACAAATCCTACTGTGCAAATTGATTGGCAGAAAAGATTTATAATCTGCAGGGGAATAGCGAAGGGTTTGAAGTATCTTCACGAAAGGAATCCACCAATAATTCACAGAAACATAAAAGCCAATAATATTCTGCTTGATGCAAGTTGTAATCCGAAAATATCAGATTTTGGATTGGCAAAGCTTTATGAGGAGGAAAATCCATATATTGCGATTGGAGCAGGAGGAGATCTGTAAGTAAACATTGACTTTACAATTTTATTTGGAGAAAATTGGGTTCCTATTTAATCTATCATTTCGTTGCTGTTGCAGTCTATACATGTCACCAGAGTATGCAACCCGGAGAGCCATGACAGTGAAAGTCGACGTCTACAGTTTTGGGATCCTTCTCCTTGAAATCGTTAGTGGGAGAAATAATGCTGACTACAGAGCAAACCAAGAAACTGTTTTTCTTCTAGATACGGTAAGAGCTAGATAACTGTTTTTCTTAATTAACATTTTTTAGCAAAAAAATGATCAAATAAGCTTACTAGACGTTTGATTTTTTACGAGGAACAAGACGATAATGCGATATCAATTTAATAATTTAATGTTTTTGTTACGAAAGAAAGGTTCAAAATCAAAACCTTTTTGATAAAATGAGGTAATTTATATATATCAATTAAGCTAGTATGTTATTCATTCTGATATTATATAAATCGAAGTTTTTTCCCCATACAACAATACTTTAATTTTGGGTCTCATGAGATACTAACCCTCAAATGATTGGTATTACTCGAATACTAATCCAAAAACAATATTTTGAGATAATTAGTATATAGATATGATTTTCCTTTTGGAGATATTTCTTAGAAGTTCAAACAATTGCAGGCTGGTAATTTAAATGCGCGGGGAAGGCTAGGAGACTTAGTTGACCCAAGCTTGCGCACTTATGACTGGGACCAAGCGAAAATTGTCCTGCACTTGGCAATGATGTGCACCGATCAATCACCTTCTCTCAGGCCTACAATGTCTGAAGTAGTGGCTGTACTTGAAGGCGAAAAAACTCTCGAGGATCTCTCTAAAGTGATCGCTCCCTCGACATGATTTGAATCTCTCCTGCTTCACCGGACGGTCAGTGTATGCGCGCGCGCGCGTATCTTGTGTGGTTTGTTGGTTTCTCCATATCTATTGAAATTTCTTTTCTTTTTTTCTTCGGTTTCTTTTCCTTATCCACCTTTTGATTTAAATTTTCCTGATAAAGACTGAGTAAAAATATGTACTGTTTTTTATGGAATTATGGCCCTGGAGATTGCAGACCTCGTTTGTTATGTGACATCTATATATATGTTTCATGTTGTCAATCATTCTCAATCTATGAATGTTTTCCTTACATTTTAGCATATCCAGTCTTCATCGTAATTTATTTATTATTGCTATTGATGTCATATTCTGTTGAACTGAGAAAGAATATATTTGATTTTTATTTTAGTACAAAAATAAGAGCAGAAGAGGCTCGTATATATATAACCTCTATAGAGATTAATTAGAAAAAACTCATTACACTAGTCTAAGAAATAATACGATTTACAATCAAGTAAGGCTAATTAGGAAACTAAATATTCTATGATTCTTATTATGTGATTTTCATATTTATTCTTCAAGTTAACACTTCCTCTCAAGTTAGTATATAGATATCAACAATGCCCAACTTGTCAAGTGAGTTATGAAAGATTTTGCTCAAGATAGCCTTTGTAAGTATATCTGCTAGCTAATCTTCTAATTTTACAAATGAAAATTGAATCACATTGTCTTCAAGCTTCTATTTTATAAAATGCCGATCTACCTTAACATGTTTGGTACGATCATGTTGAATTGGGTTATGCGCAATTACTATGGCTGTTTTATTGTCACAAAACATGTTCATTGTATATGGAGATGAACATCCAATTTCTTCCATTAATCTCTTTAACCAAAGTAGCTCATATAGTCCTTTGGTCATACCTCTGAATTTAGCTTCTATATTTGATAAAGCAACTACCTTCTGTTTCTTGCTTCTCTAAGTGATTAGATTCCCACCCGCAAATGTGAAGTAGCCAGATGTGGATTTCTTATTAGTAATGTTCCTTGCCTAATCTACATCAATGTAACCATTGATGTGCAGATGTTGATGTTTCCTAAACATCAATACTCTGCCTAGAAAAGACTTTAGGTATCGCAAAAAGCGAATCAAAGCACTCATATGATCTTCACTAGGGTAATGCATAAACTAACTTACCAAATTCACGGCATATGTAATGTCTGGTTGAGTATGAGATAAGTATATTAGTTTTCCAACAAGGAGTTGATATCTCTCTTTATTGGTGGGAGCCTGATTAGGAAATTCTCCCAAACCATGGTTTTGAACTATTGGTGTATCGACTGGTTTGCAGTCAAGCATTTCTATTTTAGATAGCAAGTCAAGCACATATTTCCTTTGGGATAGAAATATACCTTGTCTCGATCGAGCCACTTTAATCCCTAAAAATACTTTAATCCTTTGAGGTTCTTCATCTCAAACTTAGTTGCTAATTGCTTTTGTAATTTTGAGATTTCTTCTTTGTCATTTCCTGTAATTATCATATCATCAACATAGATTATGAATGTTGTTACCTTTTCTTGTTGGTGCTTCAAGAAAAGAGTGTGGTCTGAATTACTTTGCTTATAACTGTATCTTCGCATGGCAAAACTAAATCGTCCAAACCATGCTCTCAGGGATTGTTTTAAGCCATATAATGCCTTTCGTAGTTTGCAAACCACCTTCCCTTGCATTGGAGAAGTAAGGTCAGGTGGAACATTCATGTACACCTCCTCCTCAAGATCTCCATAAAGAAAAGCATTTTTCACATCAAATTGGTGTAGTGGCCATTCCAAGTTTGCAGTAAGAGAGATCAGTACTCTCATAATATTTAATTTTGCTACCAACAAGAAGGTTTCTTGATAATCTATCCCATATATCTGAGTATATCCCTTCACCACAAGAGTTGCTTTATATCTTTCTACTACTGAACCATCTGCTTTGTACTTGACATAGAACACTCATCTACATCCCATAGTTTTCTTTTTTTCAGGTAATGGTGTGAGCTTCCAAGTCTTATTTTTCTGCAGTGCTTCCATTTCTTCCTCTATTGCTTGAATCCATTTAAGATTATTCAAAGCTTCATTCACTATATTAGGGACATCTTTTATAGATAGTTTATGCGCCAATGCTTTAAGGGGTTCAGATAGCTTCTGAGTTGAGACACAGTTGGCAATTGGGTACTTGGATTTGCTCATTCTATGATCGAGTGAATATCGTTTTGAAGGTTGTCCACGATTATATCTGAAAGGCAAGTTATAGCTATTAGAAATATTTTGAGATGAGTTTAGAACTTGTACCTCATGAATATTCTTAGGAGATTGAACTGATTGTGGTACTGTCATGGCATAGAAGGGTTGTTCATTAGAGACTTCTCTAGTTTCTTCCATTTGCTCACTAGTTTCAGCACTCTTCTCCATGTCTCGGTCTCAACGTGCTCAACATTTTCTATTCCTTCTTGCTCCCTCATTAATTTTGTCTCTATATCAATAGCAACATCCAGCTGGATAATATTATCTAAGATCTTACTTATCATATGCTCATTATCTCCCTCTGCATTCTTCATTGTACTATCAGTAAAGCCCAACCAATATTCCTAGTCCTGCTCTACACTTATGAGCTCCCCCTGAGAAGAGGACCTAAAAGATAGGGAAGTAAGAAATGCTCAGATTCAAGGAAGGTAACGTCCATGGAGGTATAGAGTCATCTTGTAGCTGGATCATAGCATCAATATCCTTTCTTGTGAGCTATATACCCAAGAAAAACACATCAGACAACATAAGGGTCGAGCTTAGTTCATTGATTTTTATATATATGAACATATATGACACAACCAAATGTTCTAGGAGGGAGCATGAGAACTGACGATAGGATCACATGGTGGCCTAGAACTTGAAGCCGGGTCTTGTAGTCCAAAACTCTTGATGGCAGTCTATTTAGCAAGTATACTATAGTCACCATTGCATCACTCCAAAACCGTTTGGGCACATTAGCAACTATCAAGAGAGCTCTAGTGATCTCCAAGATATGTTAGTTTTTACGTTCAGCAACACCATTTTGTTGTGGCGTTTGTGGACAAGATGTCTCATGATGCATACCATGTTCCTGATAGTATCGGTGGAATTGTTTATTATCATATTCCCCACCATTATTGGATCATAGAATCTGTAGTGTTGCAGAAAATTGTGTTTGAATCATATTATGGAATGAGCAAAATATGTCAAACACTTCATGTTTTGTTTTCATCGCATACAACCAAGTCATTCGTGTATAATCATCAACAAATGTGACAAACCAGTGAGCTTTAGAAGAGATAGTAATTGAGGCAGGGCCCCAAATATTAGTATGAACAATTACAAGTGGAGTGACACTCTGATTTAAACTTATTAGGTATGATACACGATGACTATTGGCGTTAATACAAGTTTCACACTGAAAATCTACTTCGTGCAATTTCATGAATAGTACTGGAAATAAATAGCGTAAATACCGAAATGAGGGGTGTCCCAACCGATTATTCCATAACCAAATATGTCGTTCCTTATTGTCGATGAGGTGTATGTTATTTGCTCGACCACAGCTGAAGTCATTCATGTAATACAACTCTTCCCTTTTAGTACCACGACTAATAATCTCCTTGGTGAGAATATCCTGAAAACAAGCAAAAACTAGGATACATTAGTGCATAACATTGTAATTTCTCGATCACTTGTCCTACAGATAACAACTTGTTGAAGAGTGATGGGACTATTGTATATGGTAATGAGAAAGAAGGAGAAAGTGCAACTATTCCAGCCCCGGTCACTGGATATGTCACTCCATTAGCATTAGCAATGCATAGCTGTTTTGGTTAAGTGGTGTCAGATAAATCACCAGGATCATACGTCATGTGGTTTATTGCTTCAGAGTCAATGATCCAACTATCATAATCATGTCTTCTATTCTAAGAGCAAAAAACATAACCTTAATTACCTAGGTTATTCTGATCAATCTATTATTCAGCCGAGATAGGAGATTCTTGTGCAGGTACAAGTGATAGTGTAGGTTCTATACATATAAGCGCTGCATGATCAGGATGTTCACTACGCCTGGCTTCTGGTTTTTTCTTTGCCTTGAGTTCGTACCAATCTGGATAACCATGTATTTTGAAACATGTATCTTTGGTGTGTTTTGTATTTCCACAGTGTGTGCAACCTCCTCCTTCCCCATATGATTTGGTAACTGACCTTCCATTCGCTGGCATTAAAAAGGATAAACGATGCTGAGGTTTTTGTCCTCCCCTTGACAGCATAGCACCTCCAGATATGACTTCTTCCTTTTTCAGCATCACAGATTGCCTTAGGTCTTCTCTCTTAACTTGCACATAGGCTTATTCTACTGTTGGAAATGGTTGCATCTGGAGCACATCTGCTCTAATATTGTCAAGTCTGTCATCAAGCCCATCTAAGAATATATAGACTCTGTCCTCTTGCAAAAGTGAGTTATATTTCTGTATGTCAATATTGCACTCCATAGTGTTTGGACACTGGAAATCAATTTCTCTCCATAATCCCTGCAGATTGTTGTAATATGTTTTAATAGATCCTCCTTCCTGTTTCAGCCTAAGAACTCCTTTTTTGAGTTCATATACTTATGATGTATCGGTGCCATCTAAGTATGTTGTTGCAGTGTTATCCCAAACAGCTTTACTTGTTGAAAATCTGATGAAGTTGCTTACAGGTTTTGGGTTCATAGAGTTGATCAGCCATCCCTTCACCATTGCATTTTTAGTTCTCCACTTCCTAAATGTTAGATCTGTTAGCAGAGGTTATGGAAGGTCTCCATTTATGTATCCCAACTTGTCTTTTTCTAAGATATATATCTCAATAATTTGGGATCATAATATATAGTTGTTGTTATCTAATTTGATTCCAATTGGTGCAACTGGTTCATGGCTGGCAAGTTGTGTTATCCCTGCCATTAGATCTGCAAGGATTAAATTCTCCCCTTCATAAGTTTTCACCATAGTAGAAGGGGTTTCCATTCTTTTCTAAAAAAATTCTATAGCCCTAGAATCTCTACTCTGATACCATGTTGAATTGAGGAAGAATATATTTGATTTTTATTTCAGTATAAAAATAAGAGCAAAAGAGTAGAAGAGGCTCTTGTATATATAGGCTATATAGAGACTAATTAGGAAAAACTTATTACACTAATCTAGGAAATAATCATAGACAATTTACAATCAAGGCTAATTAGGAAACTAAATATTCTATGATT